CCAGGTGAGCCCAGGGCAGAGCCCTCCTGCCTTTCCTTGATGAAATGTGGGAATGGATGAGCAGCCAGGCTCTTTAGAGTTTTGAATTCTTGCTCTCAGGGTATGTGGAGTGGAACTTGCAGAGTTTCTCAGCAAGTTTTGGGGTCTGCACTTTTGTGGCTAAAAGTGCACAGCTATAGTACAGGCTCCAGTGACAGCTCTGCTTCAGGGACCTGTGGCTGCACCTTGGGTTTGTTACCACCCTGTGCACTGGAGCAGGGTCTGAACCAGAAGGGGTGGTTGGTTCCCTAACCCAGTTTGGGGATTTTGCTGTTGGATCCATGGGACAACCTCTCTAGCTCCTTGTCCCTAGGAGCTGGTAAATGATCCCTGGAAGTGCTCAAGGCCAGGCTGAAGGGAACTTGGAGCAACCTGGTCTAATGAAAGATGTCCCTATCCATGGCAGGGAGTGGAATGGGATGGGCTTTAAGGTCCCTTCCAACCTAAATCATTCCATGATTCTGAGACTCTCTTGTCTTGCTGCCTGTGACATGTTCCTAGTGACCTGTTCTTTGCTCCTGTCTTAGAAGTGAGACAAGCAGAGATCCTGTCCATTGATTTCTGTCCATTACACTTAATCCCTTTGAGATTCTCTTAATTAAACAACCCAGCCAGTCTAAAAACATAAATTCCTAGGTGGTAGAATTGGAGAAAACCCCTGAGTTTGGCACAGGCAGCTCCAGTTCTCTTCCTATGTGATTCAGAAGCCCTAACTGGAATCCCTTTGGCTGGGGATGCTTCCCAGCAACACCAACCCCCTGTGTGCTGTCCCAGAGAGCTGCAGATGGATGAACTGTGCCCCTGTCCTTGCAGTGCTGGAAGGGTGGCCGCCTTCCCTGAAGTCCCTGAGCTTGCCTGAGCTGTCAGCTGTGCTGGAGGAGTGTGTGGGAGAGATGGGTAAGCTGGGAAGGGCTCTGGGCTTATGGAGGGACTGTTGTTGTGCTGTGGGAGGCATGGCTGGGTGGGGTTTGGTGGTTTGGGGTTGTTGTTGGGAGAATCTCTGCTTGTTCAGGGAAGTCTCCAGGCTCTGGAGTTGGTGCTGTTCTTGTTGCAGATCTTGGGCTCTGCATCATCCCCTGGTGACAGGTCCAGGCTGGGAGGTGGGGGGTGGTCCCTGCATCTCCTGCTCAGTGGTGAGAGCTGCTGGGGAAGTGGTTCCCTAGTCCTGTGTCCTGTTCTCCTGGTGACAGGAAATTGTCCCAGCAGCTTGCAGGCAGTAGAGACACCCCTGTTCTCAGAGCAGGAGCAGCACAGCAGTGGCTGAGAGCAGCCTGTTCTTTCCTGCTTCCTGGCCCCATCCTAATGCTCCTTTTTCCCTTTGGTTTGTCTGCAGGAAAAGCTCTGCAGACTGTGACTCAAAACCTCCAAAGGCTCCAAGCCCTGGGGCAGAGCGGGCAGAGCTGGCCAAAGCCATAACCGAGCCAGGAGGGTGAGTGGGAACAACTGCCCTGCCAGTCCCGGGCTGTGGCACTGAGGGGGCGCCGTCCCTCCCTGCCAGTGCCAGGCTGTGGGGACACCATCCCTCA